TCCCTATTTTCCCGGACATGTTCGGCTTTTTGGAAATTCCTCCCGGATGGGGATTTGAGGACCAAAAAGCCGGACATGTCCGGGAAAATCCGGATGTACGATAACCCTAGGTTATACTGAGGACTTGCACCAGTAAAGAATTAGTAGATAAAAGATGAGATACATAACATCAGGGTCATCTATGTGTATTTTCACTTATTTGTAATCTTTCATGGAAGGTTCACTGGACATATGCCCTAAAACCCAGGACACTTCAGCTCGGCATTGTCTTCACCAGTTTCACAAATGACTCTGATAAGAGGCTGCTGATTTCTGAGAATGAATTAATAAAATTGTTGAGGCGTGTGATTTCATGTATTAGTGCATGTTAAAAGAATGTTAGGGTTTCATTAAATTGACAGTCCTGTAACGGTTTATTAAAATTTCAGTTTTTATTAACTTAAGTGCTCGTACCATTTGGTGTTCTATGCCTGTATATACATTGATAGGAGTGTTGCAGTATTTATGTGTAATATACATACAACTACAGTACATCCACCATACACAGAAATGGAAGATTTCATAAATGAGTTAGTCGTCTTTCTATTTAGGCCATTTTTGTAGAGGATTTTTCAGCAATGGGAACCTTTCTCCCCTTACAATTTTGTGAGCTGAAGCTAAGCTTACTCCCTAACGGTAACCTCTGGTGAAAGTCTCCTCACAGCTTGACACTGGCATCTCTGTCTACACCAATACAGACCCAGGTCAGGGGCTAGTTTCTGTCAATGCAAATCCAGCTTCCCCTCCGTCATTAAGAAACCAAGCCTAGGAGGCGAGAAGGCAAATCACGCGCAGGGCGGGCTCGGTTACCCGCTGACTGTGTCTTCTATTCATCTACAGCAATACAACGGCCCCGGCATTCAGCGTGAGGCAAAGAGCAGCTCAGCTGCGAAGCTTTGGCTGGTTAGTGGCGGGCAGGCAGGGCAGGGCTGGGGGAGGAGTGTGGGGAAGAAGGGGAGGTCGGGCGGGCAATAGGGCCCCGCAGGGGGCGGAGGAGGCCGCTCGGAGGAAGTGATGGAAGCTGAGGAAACAGGAAGAGCC